CCCCTCCTATTCTTGCAGCGGAAGATAAACTTAGAGCACTTTTCACAATCAAATCCCCCTAATTAGTAATGAAGTTGAGGCACAGAGGAACTAATGAAGTGTTGGTGGCTACATCCTGTTCTGCCTATAGAATCAAGTGAAATAATTGGAAGTGGATAATTAGCAAACAACATTGAGAAGTAGAATGGGAACTTGTCTCTATAATTCACCACAACTCTTTGAGCTATGGCAGGGAATATAAAGGAATTAAAAATATCTCTGGTACATCTCATTGTTTCTGTTAAAGAAATTTTGGAATTGTAAAAATTAACACAGATCAGATTTCTTTTGACTCTAGGTCTTTACTGGTGGGATAGTAGCTGTGCTAGTTTCTTAAATGGGTGTATACCTAAAAGCACATACACTTGTCCAAAGTTTGGGAGGAAGAATTTTATCTTCTCACCACAACCACTGACAACTCACTTAGAAATCCAGTAGAAAAAAAATATAGAAATTGTGCAATTCTCTTTCTTGCTCAGATCTTTTCCCCAGGATTTGTAACGGCCATTTCCAAAGTCCTCCAGAACCTTCTGTTTTCCAGAGGAACAAAATAAAAGTGGATGTTACTTTTTTTTTTTTTGCTTTAATTTATATGCTGCCCTTCTCCGGAGACTCAGGGCGGCTTACAATGCGTTAAGCAATAGCCTTCATACTTTTGTATATTTATACAAAGTCAGCTTATTGCCCCCCCCAATCTGGGTACTTATTTTTTGCTTCCTACATCAAAGCTGTTCTGTCCCCGTCTCACACACACACACAAACAGACAGCCAGGGGTTAAATAAACTGGCAGACAACAAATTCTTTCGATAAGAGGATTGGCAGCAACCCAGTAGCTGCTTGCCAAGAACTTTACTCATAAACAAGATACACAGAGTTCAAGAATTGTCAAGTCCAGTCCGTAATTAAATCCAAGGCAGATAATGTTGTTTCCAAAGATGCAATGTGACTCGATAGTAGTTAGTTTTGTCCATCACAGAGTCTGAATGGCCACCTCACCCCCTTTTATACCCTGTGGGGTGTGGTCCAGTGACTCAGCTTAATCTCTGGCATGCCTCTTCTTCTGTTGTGCACACTTATCTCTGCGACGCTGCCAAGGATCCAGCCAAGACTCATCTCCCTCATTACTGTCCACCTGTGGCTGCGTGGACGTGCTTGGCCCCGGGCCTATCTCTTGACCTTCGGCGGACACCAAAGGCATTGCGAGAGAGGAGGATCCTGGAAAGGGAGGCCTTGCCAACTCCTCTCCTTCACTCTCTGAGTCCTCTCCTGCCGATGACACAGGCTCAGGTAACGGAGCCACAACAAAAACCTATGTTTATCGTTTCCAGTTCCTGATCTTTTGGATTATTTTTCCTAAGCTTGTCTTTCTCTTGGCCATTTTACTGGCTGAAATCCAGTAGGAGAAAAAATTCAGAAAAATCCGTCCATCTCCTTTATATCCTCCCTTCCTTTACTATAGAACCATTGTATCAATTCAGATAGAAAAGTAAAAGGAAATTCCCCAGGATTCCTCAGCCTGGGATTGGTCATTTCACCCGCTAGTCTCCACTTGCTGCTGACACAAGCATCACTCAGACTAAAATTACCGAGTGCAAGAAAACTCACCTATTTTGAATGACTTCAAGCAAGTGTAAGCACGCTCTTCAACTATTACATTCCAGGTCCCCAATTTGCAGTTTTCATGACTTTATTATAGCAACCTCAAGAATGCTATTTAGAAACAAGTCAAAAAATTCTACAATTTAGGACCCAGGGATCTTGTTTTAATCATGATAGCCCTCCCCAAAACATATGTTTGGAGGTAAAGGTAGTCCTTGAGGCCAAAATTTCTGTTCCTAAGCAAGGCAGTTATTAAGTGAATTTTGCCCCATTTTACGATCTTTCTTACCCTAGTTGTTAAGTGAATAACATGATTGTTAAGTGAATCTGGCTTCACCATTGACTTCATTTTTGCTTGTGAAAAGATCACAAAAGGTTATCACATGACCCCGGGACACTGCAATTGTTATAAATATAGGCCAGTTGCCAAGCTTCCAAATAGCAATAGCAATAGCACTTAGACTTATATACAGCTTATATACACAGTGCTTTACAGCCCTCTCTAAGTGGTTTACAGATTCAGAATATTGCCCCCAACAATCTGGCTCCTCATTTTACCCACCTCGGAAGGTTAGAAGGCTGAGCCTGGTAAGATTTGAACTGCCAAATTGCAGGCAGCAGGCAGGCAGCAGAAGTAGCCTGCAGTACTGCACACTAACCACTGCACCACCACGGCTCGCTTTCGGTCACAAGGCTATCGAGATGCTTGCAATGGTGGTAAGTGTGAAAAACAGTCATAAATCACTTTTCCCCCCAGTGCCTTTGTAACTTTAAATAGTCACTAAATGAACGGTTGTAAGTTAAGAACTATCTGTATACAAGTTTATGCAGGGTGATAATAATCCAAATCCAGCAGGAGTTATTTCTTTTAGAAGGTTGCCTTTTCTACTTTTAACTAGAGCAGAGGAGGAGAACAATGGCCGTTTTATGACTTGTGGACTTCAACTCCCAGAATTCCTGAGCCAGTGGAAGTCCACATGTCATAAAGGGCCCATCAATCCCCACCTCTGAAATAGAGGCTTAGAGCAGCAGATACTAAGGAATAGCATGGGTCTATTTTTTTCCTGGAGCGCAGAACAGTGAGTCCAATACAAGTCACACTTTCTGAACTATTTGGGTCCTCAGTGGAAGGTTTTATCCCAGTGCCAGTGTTGAAGTAAGATTCACTTGCTCCCGAAGTACACCTTTAAATGGAATAAAAGGAAGACTTCTTTACCTCAACATTATGGATTAAATTCATTGCCCATCAGACTATACTTAGTGCATTTCTTGAAATGTGATTTCTAGAAGTATAGTTTGATTCTCATGGACCATCTCCTTAAAAAGTGCTGCCTTGGAAAATACATTTTATGGTTTTCTCCTACATCTGGTGCATGCCAAAAATATATTAGAAGTCACTTAATTATTTCAGCTAAGGTGAAATTAAATCAGGGGTTTTTTTTCACAATGAAACATTTCCCATCTAGGAATGCTAAATAATTTTGTAGTGCTTTCATAATAAAAATTGGCAGCACAACTTCTGCTACTAATTGTATTTTGGTTGCTGTAAAACTTTCATTCCTCTTCATTTTAAAAATCATATAGGGGATGGACTTTTGGTGAGTTCCATAGAGTGTTCACAAGAAAAAATGTGCCTGGATTCCGGAACTGGGCTGGCAAAATCCCTCTAGAGAGTTTTTGAGATAATTCACATGATTAACTGCAGATTAATAATCAGTTATCAAAGATAACTGCAGAAAAAACAATTGCTACCAACCTGCCTTCTATTGAGGACCTGTATACTGCACGAGTCAAAAAGAGGGCTGTGAAAATATTTACAGACCCCTCGAATCCTGGACATAAACTGTTTCAACTCCTACCCTCAAAACGACGCTATAGAGCACTGCACACCAGAAGAACTAGACACAAGAACAGTTTTTTGCCAAACGCCATCACTCTGCTAAACAAATAATTCCCTCAACACTGTCAAACTAGTTACCAAGTCTGCATTACTATTAATCTTCTCATCGTTCCCACCACCCATCTCCTCCCACTTATGACTGTATGACTGTAACCTTGCTGTTGGTATCCTTAAGATTTATATTGACTGTTTCCCTATGACTATCATTAAGTGTTGTACCTTATGATTCTTGACAAATATATCTTTTCTTTTATGTATTCCAAGAGCGTATGCACCAAGACAAATTCCTTGTGTGTCCTATCACACTTGGCCAATAAAGAATTCCATTGTCTATCTATCTAATGTCAATACGTGTACAAAAGGGGCTGTCCATGGGCTGCCAGATTTCTGAATGCAACATAACACCATAACTATTTAGTATGATAGACTTGCAGGGCCAGCACAACGTGCAACATGGTGTAATATAATATAATGTAATGTTATGCATATATATCTATATAGGATTGTATGCCTGTTAGTATGATCTATTGGGTTAGGGGTTTTATTTTTCTTGCTTTCACTTATGAGTTATTGAGATGTATTTTGTGTTTGGGGGGGGGGGCTGCATCCAATCTCATCCAATCTCATTGTACACATGTTGTGCATTGACAATAAAGGTTTGAATTAAATTGAATTAAATTAAAAACCTTCATGCCACCCATTCTCACCCACTAAACCTGGCCATTCCTGACATGTTCTTGAACCCCAAACAACACAACAAAAGGTTGTTTAAGTCTCTCCACCTATTTTGATACCTAGATTGAAATTGACTAAACGTTGGAAATTAGCAAATTACCAGCTGATATGGAACTCCTTTACTTTACACAATAAGTTTTCCCCAACACTGAATCCATCACCCAGACACACAAAGGGGTGTAGATTATTTTACCCTGCAAGATGATAAAACTGTATTTCCTTTCAACCAGACCCTGCTCAGCCCTTGGGCAAACCATGTTTGCATGCTTCCTAATACAAAGAATGGGCCTTCCTATAAGTATGACCAATCTTGTCTTTTTAATTTGTGGCCACCTTTGGTTGCTAAACTGTCAGTTTTGCTGTCAATTAAACTCTACCTCTGCTTGAAGTAGTTGCCCTGTGTTCTTTGAACCCAGCCCAGAACGAACCAGAATTTTCTTCTAACTGGGCTCTGATCGCATTGTTGCAACCAAAATCTTGACTTTTGTTACCCACCCCCTCACAGAGACCCCATTAATCATGTATGTATAACTAGTGTAGTCGCAGACACCATGGCATTCCAGAAGAGAAGGTTTAAGCCCTCACTCCATGCCACCATTTCAGGAAAACTATGCACAGAAAGAAGAATTAAGGGAAGCTGACTCCCATTAGAACCACCACCTGGTATTTTGGAAATAATAATTCGTACATACAATGTAAAATGACAGTCCTGCAATAGGGCCAATAGCTATTTCTTTCTTCGTTGCTTGCATTTTAATTAATTTCGAACCAACAGCCACATGAAATAAATCGCCCATTTCTGTCATTTCTGTAAGGTCTTCTGAACCTTAGGAAATACCTTGATTTCATCATCACATCTGCTGCTTTCAGTTAGTTGGCAATTTCCTTACTACCTTTTGCTGATTGTACCTAATGACAAAGACGAGAGACGGAGAAGCTTCTGTGCAGGATTCTATTTCTCTCAGATCTGTACTTCTTATCCTAGAGATTAGGAGAAAGCAGCATCAGATAGGACCTCCTGCTAGATGTTTGAGTAAATTACTGTAAAACACCAAGGATTTATCTCCTTCAGGTTGTTTAACAAAAGTAAAAGCAATAATTACTCTGCTAAAATGAGAAAATATCAATTGGGGGTTTTTTGTGAAAGATTATGGAGTTCAGCTCTGCAGTTGCTTTTTCCTTAACTTTATAAGATATACTGTATATCTGCCCTGGAGTTGACTTGAGATTCAAAGGGGAAAAAAACCCAAAAATGTATGTGTTTGTGGTGTGTGGAAGGGGGGGGGGAGACTCCAGGAACCTGAATTCTTCCTGCTTCTTTTAAATCAATTTAATTCCCCCCCCCAAAATAACAATGATATTTTAACACTACCAACCAGGAATATGAGTAATCCAGAGATCAGAAAACTGGTGAGTTTGGCAGGGATTTGTTCTTTGAGCTTGCTGTTTAGCTCCCGGACATTTGGTTATCAAACTAGGCAAAAACTTCAGGAAAGGTTTTTGAGTGAAGTGTCTTGTTCATTTATATAAAGTAATAGAAAAGACACTTCACTCAAACACCCCGCTGAACATGTTACTTAGTTTGGTAACAAAACATCCAGGAGCTAAACAGCAAGCTTGGAGAACAAACCCTTGCCAAAGCCTCAAACCTGAGCTACAACTATTCTCAACAACTTCTTAATGGTGATTTGTTGGCCAATAGAACATGGTCCAGTAAAAGATATAAGGCAAAGCCAGTAACAAATATGATGGAAGCGTTACATAAGATCCCAGGTCTTAGCTTTTTGTTGAGACTGAAGATTCATCGAGCACACTTATTGAAACCTTCTCTCTGTTATAGCCAGTGGTGAAATCCAATTTTTTTTAATACCGGTTCTGTGGGTGTGGCTTCGTGGGCATGGCAGGGGAAGGATACGGCAAAATCTCCATTCCCACCCCATTCCAGGGGAAGGATACTGCAAAATCCACATTCCCTCCCCATTCTTGGGGAAAGGATATTGCAAAATCTCCATTCTCACCCCACTCTGGGGCCAACCACAGGTGGTATTTGCCGGTACTCCGAACTGCTCAAAATTTCCACTACCGGTTCTCTGAACTGCTCAACTGCTCAACTGGTTCTCCAGAACCTGTCCGAACCTGCTGGATTTCACCCCTGATTATAGCTAATGTCATCCCCTGTCAGCACCATAATGCTGCCACTTGGCTGTCATGTTTTCAAGAACTCAAGCTCTTTACCAGAATATTTTAAACCGATCTCTATTGAACCTACATGTGGAAAAGGGAAAAATTTTATTTATCTTATTTTTTTTTACAGATGCATTGCACTGACGAACCGTAAAGCTAAATTAGGATTAGGCATCCCAACCATGGAAGGCAAAATTATTCTTTTCAAGCAAGAGGTAAATAAATTGATTCAATGTTCAACTATTGTTGCTATTTCAATACATCTCTCCTCCAGCATAGACTGCCCAGAGATAGCCACTGTTAATCATGTTGCTTTTGCAGTGAAGTAAACAAGGAAGAATTTGTGTCCTTTCTGGGACTGCTAAAATCATGCCCTGTTGCCCTCCTGTATGCTCAGGTTAACGTAGGAGTGTGTTGTAGGAGAGGGGGAGGTTAACTCAGTGATAAATTTTCATCCACTTATGCATAGCATGCTTTGCATAGCATTCCTACTCCTGGGATGCTTAGGTGAATATAAATTGCATTGGAGGGTCAGGCCACAATATTCCTTACTTTTCAGCGGAGCCTGATCTGCACAGAATTGCAATAAATCCTCTAGCACCAAGCATGCCTCCTCCTGCCTCTCCAATTCAGCACATTATCCACAATATCTGTTTGGATCCTATCATCCAGCGTTTGCTCGCTTGCTTTTCTTCTCTATCTGTCTATCTAATTTGTATGCAACCACAATCACAAGACTCTCAGTGGCTCATAGGACAAAGAGCACAGTACGAAACTAATACAAATGTGACTTCAGGCCTCAAAATCTTCCTGTAAAAGCTTTGCATTTAGCTTTTTAACTTGCCTCCAGTTAATGCTCTAACACTGGAGGTTTTTAAGAAGAGATTGGACAACCATTTGTCTGAAATGGTATAGGGTTTCTGCCTGAGCAGGGGATTGGACTAGAAGATCTCCAAGGTCCCTTGTAACAGTAACAGAGTTGGAAGGGATCTTGGAGGTCATCTAGTCCAACCCCCTGGGATTCGAACCGCCGAACTGCCAACCTTTCTGATCGATAAGCTCAGTGTTTTCCAACTCTATTATTCTGTTCTGTTCTGTTCTGTTCTGTTCTGTTCCTTTTTCTGGAAGTGGACAATGTTTGAGATAAAGGAATCTCCAGTAATTCCAGAAAGCCAGTCCTATCCTCCGCTTTTTCTCTTCCGCCTTTGTGGGCCATGGCAAAACAAAGTGAAGAGCTATTCCAATTTGAAATTAAGCAAAGTTTCTGATCACTGGATTTAATTTCTTATATCATCCCAGCCATTCTGTGATCACCTTTGATATAATAGTGATATCCTGGGATGAAACGTCTTTTTGTTCATTCTGGGATTACTTTTTTCATTAGTTAAGTTTGAAAACTCCCACCCTACTTGCCTGTGACATTGGAACGTTAGTATGAAAAGACAAAGCATGCATTTGTGACCTCACAACAGAATACATGCCCCTCCCCCCATGTTGGCATTTTTATGGGTAGCTGTAGACATATGGGTGTATATAATATTGGATATAAACCAGTGATCGGTATATTTCTATCTGTATTCTTGGGAAATTTTAGAAAGTAAACATTTGAGCAGTATTAAATAAAAATGAATTGTGTAAAATAAACACCAAGCTATTTTAGCATCAAGGACATTAGGGGCCTAGAAGTTTAACAGTTCCCATAATGAGCAAGAATCTAAAAAAATTTAAAAACAAAATATAAGTGAAAAGCCTCAGTAATTAGAAAAAAGGTTAATAAAAATGAGAAAATTAGTGATTATAATTACAATAGTTGACCTTGCTATAATTATAGAGGTTTTTTTTTTTGCTTGTGATTGATTTAAGTCCTGTTGAATTCTTAATCAAATCTCTTAAATTCAGCAAGACTTTTTGCCCCTGTTCTTGTCATTGACAAAACAGAGCAAGAGTCAGAGAGCACAAAGGCAACCAGAATAAGACATAATTGCTATAATGATGCTTATTACATTGTTAGGGTCCTGTAGATAGCCTCTGTTTTATTGCCCTGCCAACTTCCTTTGTGTTCTCTATTTCCCAATTGCTTTCCTTTTTTTGCTGAAATGTCTCTAGCAAATGCATGTTAGGAGATAGCTGTCAATAAAACTGATGATGTGTTTGCTAAAAATAAACTATTAAAAGGACATACATGAATGTTTCTGAATAGACCCAAAATTATTCTCTGCAAACAGGTTGTGCATATGGAAGTTTTCCATTTTTATGCCTCTTCCTTTTTGCAACACACAAAAGCTTATTGAAAATAATGTTTCTTTGGAGTGGGGGTGGGGGGGTTGCATATAATTTTTCCTTCTCCCAAATTTCTTAGGTAATACTACAGAAAAATAATCTCGTCATACAAAAAAAGCTTTTATTTACGTGTTGAAATGACAGCTCCCTTATTGATCCCTTATGTGTCATCAGGTCAATGTTGACTCTCAGTAATCGTATAGATTTTGTCTAGGAAGACCTACTCCCAGTTTGGCCCTGTAAGTCTTCTACACCCATTTCTAATGTAATTGATTCCATTCAACCTGCTGGTGATCATCCTTTTCTCTTCTTTCCTTCCACCTTTCCCAGCATTGTAAGTTTCTCAAGGCAGCTAAATCTTTGCATAGTGTCCAAAAATTGATAGTTTGAATCTGGTAATTTGTACATCTGGCATTATAATGTCCATCACTTTATCTATTCTTGGTAATATACCAGAGTGGGTTTCCATTACCTTCTCCCATATATTATGCAATGATAGAGTTGCTATTATGAGCTGTGGTGGCGCAGTGGTTAGAGTGCAGTACTGCAGGGTAATTCTGCTGACTACCAGCTGCCTGCAATTTGGCAGTTTGAATCTCACCAGGCTCAAGGCTGACTCAGCCCTTCATTCTTCCAAGGTTGGTAAAATGAGGACCTGAATTGTTGGGGGCAATATGCTGACTCTGTAAACTGCTTAGAGAGGGCTGTGAAGTACTGTGAAACAGTATATAATTCTATCTCTATTGCTATTACTCAAGCCATAATCTACCTTCAGCAACTTCCTGTATCACTGCTGCTTTAGCTGGCAGATGGGAGGATGTTCATACCAAGGGATCTTGCTGGAAGTTTAATATTCTTGGCATGTATTCCTGATGTTCTTTTGTTTAGAGTTTACAGTGTGGTAGCATAACAACATATGAGGGAGTTCATATTACTTATCACCAGCTTATCAAGTATTTAGGAAATGAAGGCTTGGCAGCACAAGGAAACAACAGCCAATGATTTAATAGCCAGCCATCAACACCCAAATCAACATCTAAAAAGCCACATACAACAGACATTGTATAAATAACACACATAGCTCACACTCTGCTAGAGAGAATTGGTTCCATCACGAGTCCCACAGCTCAAAAGACTAAACCTCTAGTTCCAGCAACCGACCCAGATTGGATCCTGCAACATTATCCTAGGACACATATACTGTTATTTGCCTTCATTTCCGTATAGCATTTCTAAATAAATATTTGCCTGAAAGGCATAGCTGATTATACTGTTTACCTTGGTAAGATAAGTTATAATCCAATATACTGTACAAGTGGTCATTTTATTAATCATTTGGAAAACTCATATATTTGGAAGCTTTGATAAATTAAGCTCTCTTTTTGAATAGTTTATCTATGTTTAGTAGATCTTTAATGAAATATTTTCTAGTGTGAATCAAAAGTCTGTAGAAATTGAAATGTCTTCTTTCTTTCACTTAGATTTGAAACCTAAATTTTACTGGCATAGCCATTTACATGTCCCTGGCAGAAAGGATGAATCTCTCCAGTTTATTTTCTCCCCATTTCAAGTTTCCTTTTTCTGAAATAACATTTTTTTCCTGTGTGTGTTGGGGGAAAATGCTGAGTTTTTTTGCTAAGATTTTATGGTTTTTTTAAATGAAATCTTCACCCACTCTTACATAGGGTGAAGTTGATAATCATAGGATATTATCTATGACTTCTTGTACTGCAAACAGATACATGACATCCAAATATTTTTTCATATGGCAGTTAGTGGGTACTGAATATATTTCTGTAGGGAATTGACTATCTCGTTGGAGCAAGACAGTGCTGTTTTCCTTCCCTTCTAATGAGCTGGAATGATTTCCATGGTACATATAATGCCTGTGTGAGGAAAGACATGCCAGCCAGAGGAGAAACAGATTCTGATATATGCTGTTACTAGAGAACCAGTCCATTTTCATCAAATAAAATGTTATAAAATGACAGAGGCAAATGAAGCATCAGTGCTCTGTTAATGAAGAACAACAGACTGTCTTTAACTTCATGGTTAACTTTTCATACAGTGATGCTTAGCCTGTTGCCTCATTTACACATTCCCTATTTTGCTACCTTGAAAAGCTAGACAGTGAAATTTAAGCAATTCAACAGTGTAAGCAGGGATAGTTTATGGCAGTGATGGCTAACCTTTTTGCCATCATGTGCCAAAAGCATGGGGAGCATGGGGGGGTTGTGCCCGCATGTGCCCACACCCATAATTCAATGGCCCCCCACACCCTTGCCACATACACATGCGACCCCCCTCTGCTACCCCTGCTTTTGGCATGTGATGGCAAAAAGGTTAATGGTGGGCCTGTTTTTCACCTTCCCCAGTCTCCAGAGGCTTTCTTGGAGCCTGGGGAGGGTGAAAACAGTCTTCCCCAGCCCCCCCACCCCCGAGGCCCTCGGGAGGCCAGAAATGGCCTGTTTCCTGACTTCCAGTGGACCCAGAAGGCCCAAAAATCAGTTGGCCGGTGCGCACATGCACGCTGGAGCTGAGCTAGGGCAACACTCACGAGCCCACAGATATGGCTCTGCGTGCCACCTGTGGCACCCGTGCCATAGGTTCACCATCACGGATTTATGGCATTGCACTGTCACTTGATAGTGAAGTAGGAGGCATTTTAATTTAAAAAATAAATCAATACATTAAATATATAAATAAACTGAATGAAATAAAATGAAGTAACAAATAAATTTAATGAACAAATTAATAAATATAATAAACAAGTGCATTAAACAAACAAACAAACAAAATCTTGACCAGGCAATCAGATTTCCCATATAACACTGAGATAATTTCATGTTCTTTCTTTCCAGCCCAGGAGCAACTGAAGAGATGTAGGAGATGACAAGGCTGAGCCCGAGGGAGTGGTCAAATGTATCATAAGACATGAGTCCCTGAGCACCACATGAGAGCTAAGCCCAGCCCACTTTGAATGTCTTTCTTATTTCCTGATCATTTCCCTTGACTGTTAGTTGGTCAGATTCTTGTAGAGTACGGGTGCCCAACCCCCAGCCATGGCCCACTACTTGGCTGCAGTCTATTCGAAACCAGGCAATGGGCAAGTACGTGGGCGCATGCGAAGCTCAATTCACACAAGCAGTGGATGCTTGAGTGGAGGGCACATGCTTGTGAGTAAAGTTGCATTTGTGTGAATGGAGGGCGCTGGCATGAGTGGAGGTTCACGTACAAGCACAAGCACCCTCCGCTCAAGCGTCCTCCATTCACACAAGTGCAGCTTTGTTCCAATAGAGCTGTGCGCTTGCATGCGCCTGCCACTGACATGCTCCCTCTGCGCCAAGCCAGGCCTCCAAGGTGGAAAGGTTGGGGACCGCTGATGTAGAGAGCTTGCCATAAGTCTTTATACTAATTTTGAACTGCCGAATCTCCTAATTTCCCCAGCGCTTGACAAGAATCACTTTCCTTTGAGCCTTACCCCAGATAAAGCACTCTCCTTTGTTCACAGTTATTCCCTGAAGCATCACCTCCCCCACCCCCCCACCCCTTTTCACAACTCAAAACTAGGATTTTCAGAATCAGCAGAATTTTTGGTTGAAACCTGTTTAAAATATCAAAAATTGCTCTGCGCTGAGGACCCAGCTGAGGGTGGCTGGGTTTTGTTTTGTTTTTAAGAACTTGAAGGAAACTAAATGTTTAAATTCTATTTGAAAGGTAATTTCATTTCCTGTCTTCCATTTAATTAGAATGGGAAACAATTAAAGATGTGTCCACAGAAACAGATTCTTGTGATCAAGAAGGGGTGCATAATACGGACGTTGGGGAAGAGAAAAAATAATCAGGTACTGAAAATGGCTACATAGGCATGACAATGAATATGCTTTCATCATGTGAGAATGTGGCCAACGATGGGATTAAAAGACTTCTATTACAAACCACAAGGTTTTTTTTAAATAGGTGCTGTAAAATACAACTTTCTACTTTGTCATATTATGCATAGAGTTATGATCATAGTAGAAAGGGCAACAATTCAACCATTGGAAAGTGAATGTGATAACCACACCTCTTCTGTGATTTCACAGTAATATCACACTACTAACCAGAGCATTCAAAACATTTGCTAGAACAAT